CGCATTGCAAAATCGTTAAATAAGGTATATAAGCTATTTAACATGGAACGAGCAAAATCAATTAAAACAATTAAAAATAGTGAAACTTTTAAAAAAGAAGAAAGAAAACTGAACATGCTAAACTATAGCATGGAAAAAATTTTTAGCAGAGATAATACAAATAATTTTGAAATACGAGAAGAGCTAAAAATGGAAAGTCTAGTTCATCAAAAAATTGCCAAAGCAAAAGAAAAAAACGAAACAATAAAACAAATACAAAAAGCAATTGAAAAAAGATGGGAAGATCTAAAAGATAATCTGAAGCGTATGATAAGTAGCATATTAGATAAATCACGTAAATCAATAGTAATGGATCGAATTGTAAAAGAAATATCAGATAACAATACAATTATAATTACAGAAGGTAGTGAAATTAAAGAACTGGTAAAAGAACACTTTCACAATTAGATGAGGAAAAGAACCACTTATGCCGGGTTATTCAAAAAATGGGAGTCTGAATACACACCACTCAAAGAGATCAATAATTTGTGGTATGACACCCTATATAATGAAGTCAAATTAGATGAATTAGAGATAGTAATTCAATCTCTACCAAATAACAAAGCACCGGGACAATCCAATCTTCAGTACGAATGGTTTAAAAACCTCCCACAAAAAGGTTTAGATATTTTTTGAAATATAGTAAACGACACACTACTATTAAACGATATTCCTAAAGAGTGAAAAAAAGGCTATATCTATTCAATACCCAAAACCGCTGAGTGGGGTAATAATTTAAATATCACAAGACCAATCACATTATTGGAGACAGGTAGAAAAATCTTTATGAAAATCATAAATAACAGATTATCAGCTATTTTTGAGAAACGAGAAATCCTATTAGAACATAATTATGCTGGCTTACCGGGAAATGATATACAAGGGCCTATACACATCATAAACAATATCATGAAAGATGCTCGCACTAATAATAAAGAATTATGGCTTATGTTTCAGGACATGAGCAAGGCATTCGATTCAGTAAATTCAAACTGCTTAATTTTGGCACTACGTCATATCAAAATACCTGAAAAATTTATAGATCTTATGTCGAGACTACTAAAAAATAGGAAAAATAAAGTGATAACGGCATATGGAAATATTGAGTCATATAAAGTGGAGGATGGTATCGATCAGGGGGATATCATTTCACTATTAATGTGGAGAATTTTTTATGACCCACTAATAAACCGCGTGGCAAAGTCAAAATTGGGTTACATAATGAAAGAGAGCTAGATAAATAATCTGTATCACAAAACACAAGCGAATATTAGCTGTAAATTAGCAGTTATAGCATATATAGATGATACAAATTGGTTCGCTCCTAACAGAGAAAAAATGGAAAAAATACTGGACATCGCTAACGAGTTTTATACAATAAATGATATTGAAATCAATAAGTCAAAATCATACTTAATAGCAATTAATGCCGAAAAATTAGATAGGAACACAGGTGTCAATATGGGCCACAATAACCTAAAACCAATCGACAGTAATACCCCTGTTCGTTCGCTGGGAGTATTTGTAACTGAGAGTGGGTCAAAAAAATTCCAAAAGAAGCATATGAAAAAAACGGTAGACTACATGACAACCATTCTAAAAGGAAAACAAATCACAGATAAACAAGTGATATATATCTTTAACGCGGTGGTCATTCCAATGCTAGAATATAAATTAAATGACATGACGCTCACAGAAAAGGAGTGTAATAAAATAACATCCAGATTTATAGTGGTAATCAAAAATAAAGCATGTTTGGCACGCACATCACCTAACACTTTAATTTATGCAAAAGAAGCATATGGAGTGTGCTACCTTTGAAATAGACAAGTACAAATGCAGAGTAACAATCTATTAAATCGTATTAATGATAAGGGGATATTGGACTTAACAACATGTATTAGGTTACAACAACTACAAAATATGTTCTGGTCAAGTAATGTGATAACTGAAACATTAGATATAATCAAGCTTAAAAAAGGTTATTCACTCCTCAATGAGGTTTTAATAATATGCAAACAAAATGAACTCACCTTTAAACTATCAAACGACATGAAAGAGAGTTTGTTGATTAAAGGAGGCAAAATCACCATTGAAGAATTAATAAAAGAATTTGATTATTATGGTCAATACTGTAACACCTGAAATTATTATTTTTATCTTTTATTTATTATTATCTTCTTTATTTGTATTATTATTAATTAT